TGTAAGCCAGGTTAAGGAGTTCTAACTACTCAGAAAGCAGCAGGGACCAATTAAAGGAAGTGTTTTAGCTAGAGAAGTGAAATAACCACATTTGATTTCTACCAAGATTACTCAGATTTAAGTGTTGAGAATGAATAGCTAGGACAAGACTGGCACCTGGGAAACCAACCCCTTGTTGAGATCTTGTCAGGAAGTGACCATGTGGTCTAAACGGTTGTTTCAGTGAAATGGAAAGAAATAGACTGATTCAAGAGATGTTTGGGGTGGAGAAAAGGAGGATCTGCATTGATTAGGTGCAGAGAAAAAGGGAGAAGAGGAATCAAGGTTGACATTCAGGTTTCTGCTTTGAGAAACTGGGTGAGTGGATGGTGGAACCATTCCTTGAAATAGGAAATGCAGAGGAAGCGAGTATTCAGAGAAGATCATATTTGCTGTGCTTTAGACGTGTGTTAAGTTTTCGATGCCTGTGTAATATCCAAGTGGAAATATCTAGAAGACCGGTTGTGGATTTGGAGTTCAGGAGAATGATCAACCTGGAGTCATTAGCCTTGAAATGTTGTGAACATAGAGAGAATAAAGCCACCAAGAAAGCTCTGCTGTAGACAAACCAAGAAGATATAGAAAACCAAACATGATCCCAGTTCAGTAACAAGTGAATTTCATGCATGGTACAGAATGGTGACTTAAAAGAGCAACAGAAGGTATACCCGTACACTTTGAAACGTCTAAAATCCACAGATAAAATACTGCATGAGAATTTCTACCTCTACCTCCAAGTTGAAGGTGGGGGAGGGGCTTCCAAATACTGTGGGGAAGGGCAGTGGGCATTAATTAATTATCTTTCGAGTAAAGATGAAAATTCATTCAAAGGAAATTCATGACTTTTTATCCAGTCAGTATGTCAGGGTTTTAAAAAACAAGTCAAAATATCCATAGCTGCTTAAAAGACAGAAGCAGATCAAAGCCAGCATGGAGGGTAAACTAGGAAAAGATGGAGTCAGACATTTTAATTATCTAGCAAAATAGGCATTAAATTTGCCAGAAAAAAAATCAAGAATGATTTAGAGACTATAAGGAAATAGGGCAGGGTAGAAACTTTAAAGCAAGACTAGAGGTTGGCAAACTATTAGCCCTGGGCCAAAGCTTGTTTTTGTAAATAAAGTTTTATTGAGACACAGTCACACCCACTCATTTACATATTGTCTCTGGCTGCTTTAGAGCTCTAAAGGCAGAGTTAAATACTTGTAGCAGGGACTATATGGTCCACAAATCTGAAATATTTTTTATCTGACCCTTTATGAAATAAGTTTGCCAGCCACTGTTACAAACCAATGAAAGGGTTAAGAAAGATGAGAACATGTTTTGAAATGATAACAGAACAATAACATTGAGGATTAAGTGGAAGGAAGCGTACTCATTGTCTATATCAAAGTACCACTTACATTGCAAAGCCTAACCAGGAGAAAGAGGGGCTCTTAACTGATCATTGGAGTTGTTATTCAGTGGGTTTTGAACAGTTCTGATTTTCTTTAGAGTTTTTTACGGTTAATTCTATTAGCTAAGGCTTCCACACCAATCTCAATTTAAGCCGACCTAATATTCCTGAGACTAGAATGGAACGTTGATGATTTTGAGAAGCTCTTCCACGAAGTCACTTTTACTACCGTATACATTTGGGCAAGTGGGTAATCAGCTTAGTTTTACTAGATAGCCCTAGCCACGTGGGTATAGACAAAGAATGAAAAGTGTTTTCTCGAGTTATAGGAAGCCAGATTCATAACCATCCGTCACTTGCTTGGGCAAGTCACTGATAAACTCTGCAGAAAAATAACAAACCGTGTGTCCCTGCAACTCGGCTGTTGAAAATGAGATTCTTTCTCTGATTGATGTTAGCAGAGAGGCTTGTAAAAATGCATTCCCAGCTGATTGGTTCAGAAGGTGTCGATCTCGTGCCGTTTCATGACCTGCAGACTACATGCCAGATGCATGTTTGCTTTTTATAAACTAACAAAGATGAATGATGAAATTTGAGCATTCCTCTTTGGCCAGCTGTACTTCCTAAAGGAAGACACTGTGGGGATATTATGGGGGACAAAGTTGGGGGGGGGGAATTTAACCCTTAATTACCAGATTAATGGAGATAAAATATAATGTTTGGAAGTACTTTCACTATTAAGTAGTTTCTACTTATGTTAAAAAACGAACGTAAGGGAAAAACCTGTAAGAATATAAAATATTTGTGTGGAATTACTCTCCCAAGCATATGCACACCCCATTCTAAATCCATGGAGTCAGCTCTTAGATACATCATAAAACAGATTAAAGATTCCTCATGAAGTCTCAACATATGATCATGAATTGTTACTGAATGGGGTTTTTAAAATTGTTTTTTGAAGCTAAAAATGATTTAGGGGCAATAGGTCAACCATCTACGATTTTAAAAATCTGAATCTTCATAACTATGCTTCTATTTCTTTGAGACAGATGGAGAAAAATGCAATATATTGCATTATTATAACATATCCTCTTGAAAAATAAGCCTCTTTCATAGTTTCATCTTTCTTCCACTAGAAATATTGAAGAATATTTAGACATTTTTTATCTTTGTGGCCTTTTGGCTAAGAAAGCAATATTTTGATAAATTTCTATGAAATTTCAAAGCTCAGTTTCATTTGACTTTCTTAAACATGATTTTAAATTTTTGTCAAAGAATAAATATACAGTTTCAAGTAATTAACCCATTTTTTAGAAATATAAGAGACATTTACATGAAAATGTAGCTATAATTTAAAAAACTATGTAATAAGATCTACTTATCAGAAATTCTGACTCATACATTTTCATGTCAAATTATGGTGTCAAAAAGTTAAAATAGTAATGTAAAAAGAGTCCAACACCATACATTTAATTCCAATATTTACGTATTAAGCCTTTTTTTTCAACTATAAGGGAAATAGTGAGATTTTTAGTTAATGTCTCTGGATAAACTGTATCTCGTTCAGTTTCAAGTGACAGAAAGGCCACAACCCAAACAGGCTTAAGGAAGAAGGCAATGCTTTGGCTTCTAGAACTGAAAAGTTCAGGAGATCAGGGTCAGCTTATTGCAAAAGCCCCAAAGGTGTCACTATGACCTGTTGTCTTAGGTCTCCAGCTCTTGACTTTGCCTCTTCTGGGATGACTCCGTTCCCAGACAGGTTCTGCTGTAGTGGCAGCAAGAGGGATGCAGCAACCCTGGCCTCACAGCCTTACAGCTCCAAGCCTGGGGGGATGGGAGCTGATGGGGCTGGATTGCTTTTTAGATAGTTCCTGAAATTCAATCTGGCTTGACAAATTAGATCACATGTACATTTCTGAACCAAGCACAAAGGGAAATATGCACGTAGACTTGAGAGTTGGGGAGAACTGGGTACCCAAATGAAAGTTCAGAGCTGTTGCACAAACAAGGGGGAATGAGTGTTAGGAGAAACCACAAGTGTTGACAACGTTCTTCAGGTGGGAGCCAGGCTCCTCATCTCCTGTTTCTTACCTTATCTGTGTCGTTGACCTAATTCTAGACTGGGCAATATAATTCAATTTAGTCTGTTTTCTTTTGTCTCAGTTTGCTGTCAGATAATGAATGGGCAAGCTTATGTTCTATTAATAAGAGTAGCCTAAAGCAAAAAGAAAAAAATGACTAGTGTGGTTTTTCTAAAAATAAAAGTTATTTCAAAACACTTGTGTAAATAAAATATATAGGTCAGCTAGATATTTTCAGCTGAGTTTGCCATAATAGGGTCACACCAAGACCTAAAACTTAGGTGTGAAGATTTTATAATGATTTTTTGTCTATTCTCCCAAAGGTAATTAAAGTCTTCGGAAACTAATGTTTTTATTAATCTACATTGAGAAATGAAATTGCCAAGCAGATCAAGCTTCATGTATCAACTGGTCACTGAAAAATGACCTTAAAGGATAACGTCATCAACCATCATAACCTGACTCTTATCTGCTAATGGGATGGTTTAAATGTTTCAAACAAAATTCTTACATGGGGCATTGAATGTAGTTTCCTTCTGATATTCCTGGAGAATGCTCAGGAAGATTCTACCCATTACTCTTGTTATGTCACCAACAGTGTAGGTCCATTTTTAGTGATAGGTTTCTTATCATTTCCAATATTATGGCCTATTTACATTAGCCACATTTTTATTAACATCTGCTTTTTAAAGGATGTGTATTAAGAGCTCAGGTTCCTGTTTAAAATATGAGCAATGCCTTAATTTTATACGGAAAACACTTTACCATCCCTGGGAAAATGGTTTCCTTGAAAGGTGGTTGGCTAATCTCATTCATTATATGTTACTCTGTCTATGTATTTCACGGACTTTCATATTCTGACCTTTTCCCAAATTTTAGATGGGGGAACAGACGGTTAGTGGAGCAGTCTGAACACACGCAGTATTTACCAATTAAGTCCACCGTTGTGTATGGGCACAGCTCATGGCACGTCAAAACAGTTACAATAGTAATATCAGAGCTCAGTGATCACAGGTGACCATCACAAATATAATAATAATGGAAAAGTGGAGTATCGCGAGAAATACAAAAATGTAACAGAGACACGAAGTGAGCAAATGCTGTTGGGAAAATGGCACCGATAGACTTGCTCCACACGGTTGCCACAAACCTCCAATTTGTAAAAAACTCAATATCTGTGAAGAGCAATAAGACGGGGTCTGCATGTGATGGATTGTTCTAAACAGTCATTTTTTATTTTTTACTCAGAATCAACATTATATGATTTTTTTTCAGCCATCTTCAATCCAAACATTTACTGTCTATGAAAGCAACTACAGGTATTGTATTTCATTTGGTTTCAAAAAATATGCCTCCTAGAAATGACTACCAGATAGGGGGAGCGAATCATTCGATGTGGAAAAAGCCAGTCAACAAACAAAACGTGCTCTACATCACGGCAGAAAAAGAGGAGTTCTCTTACTGGTTTCCGTTTCTGTCTACAGATGGACTCATTGACTGCATGGATCCTGACTGCTGTTTACAGAGTTCCTGCCAAAATCAGCCCTACTGTCGCGGATTACCTGATCCCCAGGATATCATTAGCCAAAGCTTACAATCACCATCTCAGCAAGCTGCCAAACCCTTCTATGACCGAATCAGTTTTCTCATAGGATCTGATAGCACCCATGTCATACCCGGAGACAGTCCTTTCAATAAGAGGTTAATGCAGCTTTTCCTTACATGGACTTGTAGTGATATTATCATCAGTGAGGAGCCCTTTATATGAAATGCTGATGACTGTGAATTTGAGGAAAGTGCTTTCTTTAAAAGGCAGTTTCTCCTCGTTTGGCACATCCTTCACCAAACTTCGCATCTCAAGCATTTTTGACATAGTTCCCATACTTGGTCAATTTCAGTACCTGAACCATAACAGGACATCCCATTAAGGAGTCAATAAATCTTCATAACTAGTTGATTTTTGTTAGCACAGTTGGAAATGTTTCAAAAGAAGCAATGAAAAGACTCCAAAAGGCAAAACAGAAGTGCACTTTTTTTTAAGCTGAGCTCACTAAATAATATAAATTATGAAATAATGTAATGGAACTGCTAACGGCATGGCAGTAAGATTGCATAAGCTGTTGGACTGGTGCTTTGCAGAGCAGTAATGACCCGAAAATAAACCAGTAAGTGAAAGCAGGTGTCTTGTGTCTCACTGAGCAAAAGAAGATGATTTACACAAGAACTCCTGGTTCTGCAGCAGTTTAATAGCATTAATGCAGTTAGACCCAGCAGTTGATTAAAAGTTGTTTCACAAATGTTCCTTATTGCCTGCTTAAATCTTGTACTTTTTGGTCCCTGTAGATTTCCCAATTGCCTTGGAATTTATTGCAAAGTATACGTTCCTTCATGCAAGCACCAGGTATATGACATGAAAAAACTGCAGCTTATAATTTTAAAACTTCATCTCTAAATTATTGGTCTTGATAACTCTCCAAAATCCAGATTGCAATGAATTAAAACCCCTGGTAAACACCAGACATTTCGAGAATGTGGATTACAATGAATTAGAAGGAACATTGTCTTGGGAGTATTTCAGGTCTGGTTTCTGTGAATACAAGTGCATACAGTAGTGTTATTTTATCCTTAGATTGAATTATCTCTACATCATGATAATGTTGGCCTGAAAAGACAAATGTTCATTCTAGTTCTTCTACTTTTCCCACAGCCTTGCATCCGTCATCAGAGGCCAAGTACTAACTGCTGATGGAACGCCACTTATTGGAGTGAATGTCTCATTTTTCCATTACCCAGAATATGGATATACTATTACCCGCCAGGATGGAATGTAAGTTAATCCCAACACCCTGTCTCTGTTTGAAGTATTTTAAGTATTAAAAACTAGGCATGCTTGGGCTTCCCTGGTGGCGCAGTGGTTGAGAGTCCGCCTCCCGATGCAGAGGACACGGGTTTGTGCCCTGGTTCGGGAAGATCCCACATGCCGCGGAGCGGCTGGACCCGTGAGCCATGGCCACTGAGCCTGCGCGTCTGGAGCCTGTGCTCCACAACGGGAGAGGCCACAACAGTGAGAGGCCCGCGTACCGCAAAAAAAAATAATAATAAAAACTAGGCATGCTTGTGTCACCCAGCATGTTTTATTGTCCCTTCTAATATGGAAATGCAACAACTTTTAGACTCCAGAAATCTGTGACAGTACATGGTGGCAGAAATTTAAAGTTATATACTCAGATAGGTCTTTAAAAGTTGATTTCATTTCCTAAGGCATAATAATAGTGTTGTGGTTTTATAGGAGAATGTTCTTCGTCTTAGAAGATTCATGTTAAAATATTTGAAAGTGAGATTTTGTAATATCTACAACTTACGCTCAGATGGTTCTGGAAAAGGAGTAGATAGGTAGATAGATAAAGCAAATTTGGAAAAATGTTAATAAATTAGTAAATCTAAGTTAAGGGCGTATGGATGGTCATTGTATAATTCTTTTAATATTCCTGTAGATTTGAAACTATTTCATATAAACATTGGGAGAAGAAGTTTTTCTTTATAAAGCATATTGATCTGGGGAGGTGAGTGACTGGAGTTGCATGAGATCCAGATAATTCGCTAAGCATGTCTTGTTTTTTCTTAGGTTTGACTTGGTGGCGAATGGTGGGGCTTCTCTAACTTTGGTATTTGAACGATCCCCGTTCCTCACTCAGTATCATACTGTGTGGATTCCATGGAATGTCTTTTATGTGATGGATACCCTAGTCATGAAGAAAGAGGAGAATGACATTCCCAGCTGTGATCTAAGTGGCTTCGTGAGGCCGAATCCTATCATTGTGTCGTCACCTTTATCCACCTTTTTTAGATCTTCTCCTGAAGACAGTCCCATTATTCCCGAGACACAGGTAGGATATTCTAGCAGGCATTGCTTTTATATAAACCATTTTCAGATCATGGGGTTTCCAAAGAATGTTTTTACAGGATTACAGAATTCCAGTGCTATCCTAAATAATTCTATAGAATGACATATAGAATGTGGTGTGTGTATGTACAAGGATAGGTATTTCTATAGTAAGATATCTAGTTATTCCTTAAAGATCTGTTAAAAATACTTTTTCCTCAAGCTATATCTGTATCTTGTATTAATTGTAGCCAAATGGGAAAACAGCTTAAGCTCGACAGCTAATAATGCCTTTGCTCATGTATTCATTCATTGGAAAAAGGTTTTAGTGCCTGTACCTGACCTCCTAACTGACACTGTACCAAGTGCTACTGTACATGGTCATTACTCTCAATATTTTACTGCTTAATGATTATTGTAAGCCATTCTACATGTGATAGAGATTTGAATGAAGAACTATGGAAGTTCAAAAGAGAGGTCAGTTCCCAAGGAAGCCGAGGAAAACATCACGGAAGAGGCTGGCCTTCAAAGGGGGGAAAGGATATTCCAGATAGAAGAAAATGTGTGAGCAATAGCATGGTGGTAAAAACAAATGCTGTTGTATAAAAACTGGTGAGCAATTTAAAGGTGGAGGACACTCATGGGGAAAGACTGGGGCCAGATAATGAATGGCCCAGAAATACCATACAATGGATACCTTGAATTCTTTAGATGACATGGAACCAGGGGGCCAATGTAGATTTTTCAGCATTTCTCTAATGCTAACTCAAGTGACAAAATGCATAAAATAATAGAAGGAGACAGATCAGTGAACAGAATAGTATTCACTGTACTTCCATACACACCCAGCACCCCGAGGCAGAGGGCCCACCAATCATACTGGTTGTGGAAATGAAGAAGAGGGAATGGATTAGACAGATCTGGAGGTAGAGCTGGGAGGACGTGGTTTCCGCGTGTTTAACCAAGTCAAGGATGGAGCTTACAGATCAGGCAGCTGGCGAAAATCGGCTTAATGGTTGGTTTTTCCGCTCGGGTTAGATTTACTTTTCCCACTAATGCAAAAAATATGGTCAAATTAAATTACCAGGAGAAACACGTTTTAATGAACTAAATTGCAGATATTTGTTCCAGGGAAATAGGCTAATGATGACAAAGACAGTAATCCGTTATTAAAATTAGGAATAACACACGATATTTTGAAATACAGAAGTAACTCCTAGAAGACCACAGAAATATATATTCATGAAAGACTGCCTTACCTATGGAAAACCTATCAAATTTATGTGAAATTATTTTGGAAATAAATTATATGCCTGAGGTTTCAATCACTTATATTTTCAGGGCCATTCAAGAGTCACAAAATCTATTTTTCAAACTAACCCACTGGTATTTCACCCCAGTGATATAGAACAGTGAGTTCTGTTCAGATGATTCACCCTGTACCCTACAGTCCTACAAAAGTACTGTCGATCTTAAACGTAAGGGTGTCCCTAAGTCTAATAGAGCTCTAGAAAGTTTCTGTATCTTCATAAACTATTTTGCTTAAGACAGTCTGTGTCTGAATTCAGTCAGCATGGCTGGTAAGGAAAATGCCAACTGTAATAAACTGGTGTGTCTATTACAGCATAGCAATGCCTTCTTCATCTGCCAGATTGCATCACATCCCGCTTCCTGCCAACACTGACTCACAGGCCGAATGGAAGTTTGTTTAGCCCCTTCTTTTGTTCTACTTCCAACCGCGTGATTGTTTATATTGAAAGTGACAGCTACACCCTCAGTAGCATGGGTTCTACTTAAGTTATTAAAATTTGTATGACAGGGCTTCCCTGGTGGTGCAGTGGTTGGGAGTCCACCTGCCAATGCAGGGGACACGGGTTCGAGCCCTGGTCCGGGAAGATCCCACATGCCACGGAGCAACTAAGCCTGTGCGCCGCAACTACTGAGCCTGCGCTCTAGAGCCCGCAAGCCACAACTACTGAGCCTGTGCTCTAGAGCCCACGAACCACAACTACTGAGCCCGTGAACCACAACTACTGAGCCCACGTGACACAACTACTGAAGCCCGTGTGCCTAGAGCCCGTGCTCCGCAACAAGAGAAGCCACCACAATGAGAAGCCCGCGCACTGCAACAAAGAGCAGCCCCCACTCGCTGCAACTAGAGAAAGCCCGCGTGCAGCAACGAAGACCCAACACAGCCAAAAATAAATAAATTTAAAAAAAAATTTGTATGACAGATATACATCATTCCTAACCGTTTCACGTGAGAGGAACTGGAAGGAGGAGAAACACTACTGAACACGGAATCGCTATTCTAAGATTTTTCTAAGCGAAAAAGTAGTCCTTTAAGTCTGAATAATGAATATTCATAGAGCAGTATGAGACAGCCTTTGAGAATGCTATTTAATTCTTAGTAGAGAAAGTGGTGAGTTCCTGGGGTAGGTTCTTAAACATAGATAGTCTTGCACTTTACGGTAGATGTCGTAAGCCTAGGACGAGCTATTATTATTAAACAAACTGATAGCATCACTAGTAAGTAGAATCTGAATTGTTTGGATAGATTTTATACACAATGTAACATAAATTTTTCAAAACATTTAAATAATGTTTTGGCATAATATATTTTGCATATGTCAGGATAAATTTGTTGGCATTCGTTGACCAAGGCACAGCGATGCGTACATTGTGGGGTTAAGACTTTGATTTTTTAAATTTGTAAAGGAGATGATTCTTATGCAGGTAATTATGTTAACTTTTTACACTCGTTTCAATTCAAAAAGTATATATGGAGTGTCTTTTGCGTGCATTCAACAACACATTAGTTGTTCTCTGGGGGAAAATTTACGCAACTTGAAACTATTAGTTCATGTACCATCATATCAAAAATCAGTGGTGAGTTGAAGCTCAGTGTTTAACTAATTATGAGTATGTGCTATTACCTTCCAACATGAATATGGAATTTGCTACAATTTAACCCAAATGAATTGGTCTGTTTTGCTATCATTCCTGCCTTTAGGAGTAGGTTTAATCCCTGAATGAGCCAGCTGGCGTGGTCCAGATCTTTGGCCTGGACCACATTGCTGTGCTGAGCTAACCGTCTTACAAATGTCTGCTCTAATTCTTCAGGGCCATAGGCGTGAAAGATGGGTTAGTGAGAATCCACAGTGACCATAAACTAACGAGTCATTGCATGTCAGCCTGCTGGAGCAGTCACAGTATTTCCTGTATGAGGGGTAGCACCTGAGCTGTGATTAACTCAGAATAAATGACAAGAAGCTTTTAGGAGAAGAAAAATTGGGCTGGCAGAGGAGTTATTTTTAATTATTGAATAAGATAACATCTCAAATGCATGTTTATGATTAGTGACTCTTTAGGGTCTTATTTTAGTTGCTTGGCTCCGTTCTTTTCAATGCATTTTACCTAATAGCCGTACATGATCACCGTTTGCTTTCTCCAACCCTAGGTACTCCATGAAGAAACCACAATTCCAGGAACAGATTTGAAACTTTCCTACCTGAGTTCCAGAGCTGCTGGATATAAGTCAGTACTTAAGATCACCATGACCCAGTCCGTTATCCCGTTTAATTTAATGAAGGTTCATCTGATGGTAGCTGTAGTAGGAAGACTCTTTCAAAAGTGGTTTCCTGCCTCACCGAACTTGGCCTATACTTTTATATGGGATAAAACAGATGCTTATAATCAAAAGGTGTATGGTCTATCTGAAGCTGTTGGTAAGTCCCATGTAAATATATATTCTGAACTGAAAACATTGTCTTGAAGTCAGAACTAACATAAAATGCATTTTGTGACACGTGAAAATCCATGGATAAGCAGAGAGGAAGACAGTAAGGTTGCCTAGGAAAGTGATAAGCTGGTTTGTTTAAACCTACCATGGGGAAGAGGAATGTACTCCATATGATGAAAAGGAGAAAGCATCCATTTTTCTGGCTGAAATTATATCTTAGAAGAATGTTCTCAATGAGATTTCAGGCTGCCATGTCCTTCTTTTCATGTTTTTTTCCTTATTGTGTCCCTTCCTTTTTTCGTTTCTTTTTTTCCTTTATAATTTTATTTCGTTAGCTTTCCTTATCCTTTTTTTTTTTTTTTTTCCGGTATGCGGGCCTCTCACTGCTGTGGCCTCTCCCGTTGCGGAGCACAGGCTCCGGACGCGCAGGCTCAGCGGCTATGGCTCACGGGCCCAGCCGCTCCGCGGCATGTGGGATCTTCCCGGACCGGGGCACGAACCCGTGTCCCCTGCATCGTCAGGCGGACTCTCAACCACTGTGCCACCAGGGAAGCCCTTTCCTTATCCTTTTTTTAAAATATTTTCAGTATCTAACAGCTAGTGTAGTTTCAACTCATAATGATATATTTTTTTTCATAATGATATTTTAACATGACATCAGACAACATTTGTGTCCAAAAATTATTCCAGCTCTTCTGACTGGAAGAAATAGTCAACTCAGTGGAATGATATTCTTAAAACATCAAGCTAGTTGTTTCACTGCATGACTGGACAATGCAATCAAAGTTTGACCTGTTGAGGTATGCATAGTGTAGCTCCAGGCTCAGGCTCAGAACATCAAAAACTAAAGGAAAACATGTGTTTTGTTCTATTAGCTGTTACCTGAAAATATGGTAGACATTTTATTCTGAAATTAATATATAATTTGGACTGGAATTAGTTCAAATCAGTCAGATAATTGCCACTTCTCCCTTCACTTTGTTCTAAATTTTAAAACCCACGTTTCATTGTGAACTCTGAAGTTTTCCATTTGTAATTTGTTCGTATTAATTTACTGCTAGTTTTATTGCTCGTTCCTGATAACATATGAATATGGTGTCATAACCTGGCTATCTTTTTGCTATATTGAACCTTATTTATAAATATTTTCCATAACTTAATACTCTTGGAAACTAAACATCACTAATTATTCAGACAGCAAACGTTATTTTTAGTTGTTATCATCTGATCAGCATTCGGGGCTGATTTATCGGATCTAATGATTCGCCCAGTTACCTGATCTGAACTTCATTTTGTGCTGTGAACCCCTTGTGATAAGTGGGAAAAAATACTAGTTTTCTATTAAGGCAGTACAGAAATAATATTTGGAGATCACTTTTTAGAAAAACACCTTTTATGTGATCAAATCTTCTCATATAAAAATAGACTCTGCTCACAAATAAGTGGAAATACAGTCTCAGAGCACATCAGTGAAAAAAGCAGTTTTATCAAAATAATGAAATAAATTCCATTTCTGCCTGTGTTTGGGAAGATGAACTGTGACTTGTTTTGATTCTAGTGTCGGTTGGATACGAATATGAGTCGTGTCTGGACCTGACTTTGTGGGAGAAAAGGACCGCCATATTGCAAGGCTACGAATTAGATGCTTCCAACATGGGCGGTTGGACATTAAATAAACATCACGTATTGGACGTTCAGAATGGTAAGATCTTGTTCACAGATAATATTACTCACCTTCAAATTGATTAAACTGCAGCAATATTTTATCCCATGCATGCTGTAGGATCAGAATTAGTAGGGGGAAAAAAAGTGTATTTTCAAAGACTATAAAAGCCTAAAGTGGGAACTACATAATACACGTCACAATGTTCATATGCTCGCCACCAACATAGTTTTCCCAGGAAGTCAGTGAGTTGATCCAAAGTGCTTTAGGGAGGTTTACGAAAAATGAAGGGAGGGAGATTTTTTTTAAGTAAAGAAAAAATAAAATGCCAAGTGACTTTACCAAAATGTTTCTAGTAGATCTTAATCCTTAAGTAATTAGTCTGTTCTCAGTATCTAGATTATTTTTCAGTTCTTCTTAGACTGTATTTGAGGGAAAAAACTTCTCCCACTCAAATTGGGTTACATATACTGTCATTTGACTTTGCAAGTAATCTAGAAAAAAAAGCAAGAATCAAGAGTATTATGTGTTGTAGACCTTATAAGTAAATATGCTCTGAAAAAACATGTCAGATCTCACAAACCAAAAGAGATAAATTATTTGCAAAATGTGACCCGCTTCATCTCACAAAGAATATTATTTACATTAAACAAATTCTGTTGTCTTCGCTCTGTTTCTAACATTTTACCCACATGCTGGCTACATCTCAGATAATGTATAGGTGCTTTGCTAGAAAGACAGAATCCTAAGGTAACTTGCTGTCACCTCCTATCCTGAACCATATACCATGCTAGTAACTCTCTGCCCTTCTCTTACGAATAGCCAGAGGAGAATTCAGTCTTGTCGAAATAATCTAGCTTTTCTCTTAGCAGAGGTTTCTGAGGTTCAGAATGCCGAATTGAGCATGCAATACAACTAAATATTTAACTATGATTAATGGCCGCTTTTTCAGACTAATGTTGCTTTGATATTGATTCTTTTTGTAAAAAAAAAAAAAAAAAAAAAGTGTGTCGGAGTTGGAGAGGATACATTTTAAACTTTCCAAACGTGCTAAATCTAAAACAGTTTCCAGGCCAGTGCTTGAAAATGCTGGGCCTCACCTCCAGAAGAGAATCGTACTGAGCCAATCAGTAGTAAGAAAAAGACAAAACAGAAAGACCGTTTGCACCTTTCCTAGTTTATACCGGTGCTAAGCTCTCCTTCCTTTCCGGCTGTGTCCTGGACATCAGGTTTTAGTTCACTTTGCACCTCAGAAGGTTGGGAGCAGAGCCGAAAACTAGTGCCACATGCAGCACATGCTTTGGAGACGTGGGGCGTCCCAACCCCAGAGGATGCTCTCTGTGCCCTCTCTGGTCATCAGCAGTGTCTGAAGCCTGCTACATCAGTCACGAGGTTTAACCACGTCTTTCAAAATGCAAAACCATGTGGCTGCCATGCTAGGAGCGGCTCTCAATTAAATTCTCTACAATTATGTTTCACGTGGTTTGACATATTGCTATATTCCTCCAGTTCTTTACCAACAAAATGGGAGGAAAAACCTCTCCACATGCATTTTAGTTATTATGAGAACATGGGGTAAAGTTCATAACCAGTTCGCCACAGGATTTCACCCAAGAGATTATGAACCAGTAAGAAGAGTACAAGCAAAGAACTTGAGGAAAGCCCGTACCTGATACTCAACACTCAGTGTCATATTCGGGAGGATTAAGAAACGCATAGATATTCTGCGTGTGGATATATATAGTAAAAATAGGTACAGTCTGCCAGAGAATAATGTATAGTTAATTTTTTTTTTTTTTTTGGCTGTGTTGGGTCTTCGTTTCTGTGCGAGGGCTTTCTCTAGTTGCGGCGAGCGGGGTCCACTCTTCATCGCGGTGCGCGGGCCTCTCACTGTCACGGCCTCTCTTGTTGCGGAGCACAGGCTCCAGACGCGCAGGCTCGGTAGTTGTGGCTCATGGGCCTAGTTGCTCTGCGGCATGTGGGATCTTCCCAGACCAGGGCTCGAACCCGTGTCCCCTGCATTGGCAGGCAGACTCTCAACCACTGCGCCACCAGGGAAGCCCTTAATTTTTATTAAGATATCAGGTCAGATGTAAAAACTGGGCCACACCAAATTCCGTCCTCCAAAAAAATGGTTATAAATTATAAAATAGATATTATTTTAAAATGCAAGCTAACCTAATTCACAGAGAACTGATTGTGATTTCAGATTTTATCCAAGAGCAGTTTGACAAGTAGTGGCTTTTCAAAGTGACGTGTGTCTAATTGAGTAAACAAAGTGATTTGTAATCATGACAAGGTGGATGAGCTATGGAAATATATTAAGGAAGAAGAGAAGACAAAAATGTAGACAGTGACAGGTGTTTGTGCAGGCACCCTGGAACATGGAAATAAATATTCTCATGTTCATCTTTCTATTCTGTCATAATAGAGGAGAATCACGAAAGACCGATCGCTCTAAGAAATGAAGGAATAAGTCAGATGCAGTAGAGCAGTAGGCCGACTTTGTGGGACTGTCCTGATGAAAATTACAGAACTGGCTTTTCTAGGAAATTATAGTCCCGTAATTGTCAAATAACGTAATCACAGAAAGAGAGATCTTAGGGCTCATTAATGTATTCTTTGAATCTTCAAGGCAAAATGCCTTTCATCTGCTCTTATGATCCAGCCTTATTTAGATGATTTTCCCTGAATTTGAATAAACCTGTTTTATCAGTCCTGATTTCTTTGTGTAGATTGGCTATGATTATTACATCCCCCAAATAGCAAAGCATTAAAAAAGGAATCCCAGAATTCACCTAAAATGTGCTGAGCTATGAGAGGAGCATCATCATTCTGCTTTCTTCTTCACTTTAAAATTATCCCAAAGTGGGAGGAAAAAACACTTCCTCAAGTTTCCTGTTTGTACTTTCATGGGATTGATTCTTCTAACAGTATATCTGTTAAAAAGTATAAACAACGGGTGTTTACAGAGAATAACACATTGAGAAGGATCTTGAATGCATATGGAACAATAACAGCTGACCATCCAGTTACATCAGAGCAAAATGGAACCAGTGATCTATGTATAAAAATGGTAAATGAATAGAGTTAGAATCTCCACTCAAATCCAGTTTCTAACTATGAAAATATTTATTTGGGATTTTCTCTCAGGTTTTCATTGCAGACCGAAGTAGAGCAGACTGGCATTTTGTCATGTCTAAAAGCCCAATTCACTCTACATTGTAACTGCCCTTCCCAATTTTGTCATGTCTGAAATCTTGAGTCGTTGCATGCACATGCATTCTCAGGGCAGGCTGAAGCGTAAGCAAGAAGGATACTCTTCAGCAGTATAGTAGTATGTTGGAGGTTTGATATATATTTCCTACCTCTGTTTCCTATAAAGTGTATTTAACTTTTTAAAAATCAGTGATAAACTCATAAAGAAGAAATTCATATTTACGGTGCCCATTTTTATTAGTTGGATTAATATAGAATGTTTTCGACATCCTGTAACAATTAGGCAAACTTGCAGTTCCCTAAAGAACATTGTGTAGAGATGGTTCTCAAACTCGGTTGCACATTAAGAGCATCTGGAGAGTTTTAAAAAATCTCAGTGCCAAGGCTGCACCCCAAATCAATTAAATCAGCATCCCTCAGGGTGAGATCCCAGCATCAGTAGTTTTTACAGCTCCCCTGTCAGTTCCAATGTGTAGCCAAGTTTGAGAATCACTGATGTTGAGAATTTGGGTTTTTAAGTTTTCTTGTTAGTCCTTTGTTTCTTCCACCAGACATTCCTTAAATCCGTAACAGACGGCATTTTTTGATGTATCCTCTGTATCTTGCCATATAATATCTTACACTAGGTAACTGAATGGAGTTCTTTCCAAAAGCACTTTAGATGACAGTTTTCCCAGTCCAACTCGAAAAGGCAGTGAATTGTGGTTTCTAGAGTGAACACGTTTGCTTTTCATCTCTGCTCCTTTCATCTTAAGAAAAATGTGTTTTCTCTCTTCTAGGTATACTGTACAAGGGAAACGGAGAAAACCAGTTTATCTCCCAGCAGCCTCCCGTCGTCAGCAGCATCATGGGCAACGGCCGGAGGCGCAGCATCTCGTGCCCGAGCTGCAATGGTCCAGCTGACGGGAATAAACTCTTGGCCCCAGTGGCGTTAGCCTGTGGGATCGACGGCAGCCTGTACGTGGGGGACTTCAACTACGTGCGGCGGATGCTCCCTTCCGGGAACGTGACGAGCGTCTTGGAACTGAGGTATGTCTCTGCGTAGCTCGGGACTTTAATCAGAGCTAAACATGCCTTTATTTAAAAAATGTTGAATCTAACGTACTGATTCATTTATTTAAACGTACCTTTCCAGTGTTTACAATTCTCCTTAGGAAGCAGTTAAATTCTTGGTTAAAGGTAAGAAAAGCCCAGCACGTATATGTTGTGCCATAAATGCATAGAAGACTATGAAGCCACCCAGCGTGTAAGCGTCGCACTGTCCCAGTGAATTCTCTGTACTCCAATAAGCCATCTTTGGAATAACCTTATGATATAGGTTGTCACTCTTTTGTTTCACATGCGTTGAAATTAAGGCGTAAAATATTTTCCTACAGTATTGGGACATAATAGCAAACCGACTAAGCCTATAACTTTCACCTAGAATATTGGATCTTCAGGTTGGGTTAACCCATCAACCACAATGCCAATAGTTAAAGTAACAAGTTGCTGTTTCTGCATTGTTCATTTAAGTGTGATTAGCAAAGTCATCCTGTTCTGTAAGTTATTTGAGGAACCTTGGCCTACAAAATTCATTTCCAGTGTTATTTCTGCTTAAGTCAGCAATTTTCCATAAAATAATTAAAATCTCAGTATTCAACTCATGATGTAGAAACCTTTTCTAACTATGCTTTTTTCTCCGCCTTTTTTTGTCTGCTTCCACCAAGAAATAAAGATTTTAGACATAGGTAAGCATCTTGCTTAAAAGTTATTGTATATTTTTGAATGTCCTTTTTACTTTTCAATGTGACTATCTGACATCGTTTTCTAAGAACATTTCATCATGAGAGAGGAAACTCAGTATCACAGAACATCTAAGGAATGAAAACTACTCAAATGAACTACTATTATACAACATCTTGCAGCTCCTGTTGTGCAATTTATATTTTCAAGTTGGCTAACAAAGTAAATTCTGTCACAAAAAAATTAGTATAATGAACATCTCTATGTAACAACAACGACAAAATCTGTAAACTTCAGTTACTGACTCTGAGCCATATAGAAGAGAACATGTGAAGCACAGCTGGGAGAGTTTACGGAGAGTAGAGTTGACCAATAGCCAGGGCAGATTCTGCTTTATTGGGCCCAAAGCTTATTCAATTTGGGGGATTCTGTTTAAGAAAAAGAATCTAAAAATAGTTTACTTTGGCAAATTTTTAAAAACATGAGATCGCCTGAATACGCTGCCAGGGCCCTCATTGGTCTTGGAAGGAGCCCATACAAGCGAAGGGGCCCTAAAGGTTAAGCTTTCTTGACTTCCTGGTAAATTCATTGCTGCTGCAGTTAAAACTGTGTGTTTAAAACCCATTTATGTTTTCCTAAGTTGAGAGAATTACTAGATTTGAGTTTTAAGAAGTAGTGTCTCCACTGACATTATTATGGAAGAAAAGACTTTCCTCGAGGCTAAGAATGATTATAGTCGAAGCAAATATATAGGTTCAAAAGTTTTCCAGATTCTGTTTGCTCTGTTCGCTTAGCTGAGAAGGTACGGGGCAAGCTTGTATAATATATGGACACTTTTGACTGAAAAACTTTCCTCAGGACAGCAAAAAAAAAAAAAAGGGAGAAAAAAATATGTTTGCAAGTAAAGCTAGCCAAAAAAAGGAAGACATATTGGATACGTTAAATGTAGTTTGGCCATTAAAATAACTAATAAAGTGATATTAGATAGAAAAATTAGTGATAATTTATGTGAAGTCCTTGAGATGAATAAATCCACATGACTCAGTTAAACTGTTGTGTAGAGATTGACAACTAGGAAATTAAAAAGTTCTGCTGAAAGATGTGTAGCTGTCGCATATCGGTATGACCAGGCCTGGTCCTAAGACCTTTTCCTAAGCTCCCCCATTGATCTTATGCTACCAGCTAATAGCCCAGCCGCATGCAAAAACTAACACGGAATTTCTCCAGACTTCTGAGCCTGCAAAGCTCTGCTTTTAGAAACCACAGCAGAATATCAAACTTTTTCTGGCCTTGCCTTCTTAGTAACTGTGGAGAAAAGAAGACAACCTGGTGTGTGCACCAACTAAATGCAAAAACACTGGAGGCAATACAGAAAGCCCATCAAAGCAGCCACCTTTTAACAAGCCGGCCTGTTCCGTGCCAGGCACGGTGCCAGATACACGGTGCTGCAGACCCACATAACAGCCCTTCCGGGTTACACAGGAACTGACAGAGGCTCAAGGAGGTTATGTATCTTCCCCAAGATACATAACTAAGAAATGGGGAGCAGAGATTTGAATGCCTCTAAAACGTGTGTTCTTTGCACTGTACCACACAGCCAGTTTTCATCTGTCCAAATGGCCAGGTTTCTATGGGCTAATGCCCTGGGTGTGCAAAGAGCTAGATTTATTTCACAATCATTTGACAAATTACCTAGAACTATCGTCTCTCTGGGAAAAAAATCTATGAGGTTAGAGCTACCTTTTTTATCAACAGTACTTTATAAAATGAACTCATTACGTACTAACGCGTGCTGTTCGTCAGTGATACTCATTGTAACCCGTCTCTCATGATTCTCCCCTGTACGTTATCCTGGCTACGTGTGGGTGCTTGCATTTCCTTTATGCGCCATGCATGTAAAATACACTGGTTTGGGTTTTAACTTGATTTCGTCTTTATTAAGTCAGTGTTAACTGATCGCTTACCATGTGCTGGGCTCTTGGACAAATTGTGAGACAAAGTCCATGCTCTCAGAACTCCCAATCTAGTAGGGGAAACAAGATGTGCATGTAATGGACTGAATCACATCATCAGTGTCGTTCTTTGACGCTTCATCACATCCGTGGCCTGTCCTGCGAGAGTAACTGTACAGGAAGGGATTCCTGGGAAATGGGAGCGTGGGTCGGAGGTTTCCCCGAAAGGTGGGTATTTGCCGTAGCTCTAAGGTGAAGTCTGCTTACACAAAACAACCAGGAGGAAGGAGGGCAGTCATGAATAAACAGGGAGGAGCCCAAGCTGACTACCTGTTGGATCTGTTTCTTTTACTTTAACCCTTGCTTCCCGTTGCTTTTGTTCACTGAAAGGATACTGTCTATACACAATGGCCTGCCCCGGGGAACCCTGCCGCTCTGCCTGAATGTTAAACCAAAGTGTCTTTGTTCAGGGGAACATCCAGACCCTGCCCACCTGCGGATGGCTGCAAGAAAGAAGAAATTAACACATCCCCTCCCCCAGGCTGGCCATTCCAGGGGATATTTCCAAAACTTGTGGCCTTTTTACTTTACTTCCTTATCTCCTCCCCGTCACTGTGCTATAAAAGAAACTGGCATCCAAAGCCCGATAAGATGGTTATTTGGGGACTGTAGTCTGCCACCTTCTCGGTCTGCGGCTTTATTAGGCTGTCATGCGGCGAGCAGAGTGAGCTTGGACTGGGTAACAAAAGAATATAGAGTAAGTCAACTTACGTGCTCAAAAGAGACGAGCGGGACATGTTCTAAGAGGAGCCCGATCCACTTCAAAGTTATAATTTTGATAATACCAAAATTACCATATTGGTAATAATGAGAGACACAGGTAGAAAGGCAGGTTAGGGTCAGAGAGCTCAGGGCCTTGGTAGCTCTAAGGAGTTCCTCTCCTGTCCTACAGGGTAACAGAGACAGTAGGGAACCATGGTCTGGTCTTGAACAAGATAGCGGCATCTCAAAGTGGCCTTTTAGGTGAATCTGGTATCAGTGTTCAGGATGACTTGAAGATCAGTTGGAAGGCTGTTACGTGAAACCACGAGATGCTACCTGAAATAGTCTGGCAAGTCATGAAGGCAATCAGCCAGTAAAATAAAGGAAGGCAGAGGATGGACACACTGTGTATGGCTGATGAAAAAGAGAAAGATGTAGAAAATAACCAAGGCTTTTGAGTTCAAGTCATCAAACAGAGGACAAAATCATTGACAAAAATAGGGATTCCCTTCACTTAGTAACTAATTTATCAAAATTGACCTAAACAAAATGACGATATTTCAGCTCATCGGAGCTTCTTCATTTAGCTTAAAAATTAAAATTCTTTTCAGGTGCTTCTTCCTAGTTACCTACCTGTATCATCTTCCTTTTGCCAGATGATAGGATCCACCTGGATTTCTCCTTATCTCCACTTTCCTGGCTAGCATAAACGTCATGAAAGGCTTAGGAGTAAGTGATAGGAAGAAAAAGAAAACTATGTCTAAATCCATGAAAATGGACAGAGAAGTCGGTTGTTAATGATTAAGTAAAGTAGGAAAAGGCACGCTTCTGCTCCTCTATGTGTGTTTCATGCCCTGTCAACAGTCTCATTAATTGGACTAATGGGGGGAAAGAATGAATAAAAATATTGAATAGTAAAATAAATATAAAAACAATAGTCTTAATATTTCAAAATATTCTGTCATACCAAATTTATTAAGTACTTGTCAGGATATTGTATCAAATCAAAGTCTCTAGCTATACTTTAATGAATAGTTATAAATACTACCGAACATATTAAACTTTTTACATAAATGGGAGCTTCTGAAATGCTTAGAAAATAAGTTTCTTTTATATATGCTGAACATTTCCTCTTACGATGTTTATAGTGTTAGTTTGCTAACAAACCCTTTTTGTAGGCAGTAAATTTTAGCTAACTCCTGTTCCAATGCTTTAAAATTCCAAAATAAAGGAAACTAAATTAATTAACTAATACCAGCCAAGGGGCATTTAAGCATGGAGGTCTAAAACTAAACTTTGTGAATTTTATATTGCCAATTAAAAGATCAAAGAAAGGGTCAATCACAGTTCTGTGAAATTGAACCGGTTAAAGTTTAGATACAAAACTATAAAATTTTGATTCAGCACTTCTCATTGACTTAATATTTAAAAATTAAGCAGGCCCAAAAATATCGCATCCCGAAACCCTGCTTGCAATAATATAAACAGTCTTTCATTAGCCAGAAAATCACAGTTTAATTTTATACATAAATGTAATTTATGCTTCTTCAGACACTCTGTGTTCCAAGTGCTGTGGTACAGTTTCCAGCTAAAAAGATTAAAAGTGCTAATGATATCTATTCTATAGCTTGTCCTTTGCAAATATTTCTCAAGTGTAAGAAGGTTGAATTATGACAAAATAAATGAGCAAATCTAGTCTGCATTTACCACCGGGTCTGTATCTAACTGAGGAAGATGCAGAGAAAACGGCTTGGTAGTTGTGATGATCTAGGCAGTTCAGGGTGAGTTAAGAATCAAGGCACAGTAATAGTAAAGGCTCTTCACTTGATCTCAGTTTCTTTGATTTTGCTGCTATTAGTCACAATCTCAATGTTATCATAAACCTTTCTGAAATGAAACTCCCAGTCAGTCACACAAGAAGGCTATTGTACTTCTGCTGAATAGAGATTTCCCCCCATTTCCTGCACCCCAGCTGCCAGCGGCTGACCGTTTGCAGTCATCATAGCCTCCCGTGTTCACAGATGTATTACTGATCTAAAAGCTCATCACCCGTTTGTACCACCATCCCAGCCTCTCCAGGGCTTTGGCTTTTCAGGAAGGCAGAAGGACAAGAACCGCTATCAGAAAACTCTGTGCTTAGATCAGGTGTCCTTGAATCCCAGACGCGTCGCACACGTGGCTCAGAGCTTCTTGCCACCAGCCTGGCAACTGCAAATTTCCAAACTCACTTGTCTTTTCTTTTAGAGTTTCAGTACAGATCCCTTCTTTCATTTAGGGAAGGCTGGGACCCAAGAAGCAGCTCTAGGTTGCCATAGCAAGCTGCCCTGCCGGCAGTGGATGTAGCTCTCGATTCCTGCTATTCTGTGGGGAGTATTTCTAGGAGCGAATTCTCTTCTCCAGGGCCACGTGCTCCTCCACATTTGTTCTTCTGGACAGTAGAGTTCTCTGCAAGATTAGAGCCTTCACTTGGTGGACATCTTTCAAGCCACTGGCATATACTGCTTGATTTAGAAATTTCTGTGTCCTCAAGGAAGGAGTGCTTCAGGACAGGAAATAGCAAATATAAAGCAGCACTTTGGACCTTCTCTTACTACTGTCCCACTGGAATAAAAGTTATGCCAATAAAGGCAAAGCTTATGACTCGAATGTCCATTATTTTTGGACCAAGAAAACTCATGCCCTATAGCTGAAGAGAGTGCCACTGCTACTCAAGCAACCATCTCAGAAATCTGTTGTTTTTTCTCAGAATGAGGGACATCATGAAAAAGGATGCATTCTTCATTTACCTTTATCATCATTGCTCTAGAAACAATTCAAACTGGATGTTTTAAGAAGGATCTGCGTCGTTTTAGTAGTTTAGATGTTATAGTATAACAGCAGGACCAAGGAAACAAATTTGAACGTATCCAAATTTAGAGAATTTTTTTTCCTTGTTTACATTTTCAGAAGTCAAGTTATAGTTTAGTTAACAGTAATTATTACACTTCTACACGGGCTAGAGTTACAAGGCAAAAAGATGTAGCAATGTAAGAGGAGACAGGATACAAGCCATGTCAAGAATAGCTAGGGGGGCTTCCCTGGTGGCGCAGTGGTTGAGAGTCCGCCTGCCGATGCAGGGGACACAGGTTCGTGCCCCGGTCCGGGAAGATCCCACATGCTGCGGAGCAGCTGGGCCCACGAGCCATGGCCGCTGAGCCTGCGTGTCTGGAGCCTGTGCTCTGCAACGGGAGAGGCCACAGCAGTGAGAGGCCCGCGTACCACAAAAAAAAAAAAAAAAAAAAAAAAGAATAGCTAACGCTTATTTTTTTTAAGTATTTAAAAATTTTTTAAATTTATTATTTATAAATTTATTTTATTTATTTATTTGTGGCTGTGTTGGCTGCTGTGCGCGGGCTTTCTCTAGTTGTGGCAAGCAGGGAGGCTACTCTTTGTTGCGGTGCACGGGCTTCTCATTGCAGTGGCTTCTCTTGTTGCGGAGCACAGGCTCTCGGCACACGGGCTTCAGTAGTTGTGGCACGTGGGCTCAGTAGTTGTGGCTCGCGGGTTCTAGAGTGCAGGCTCAGTAGTTGTGGTGCACGGGCTTAGTTGCTCCACGGCATGTGGAATCTTCCCGGACCAGGGCTCGAACCCGTGTCCCCTGCACTAGCAGGCGGATTCTTAACCACTGCGCCACCGGGGAAGCCCAGCTAATACTTACTGAGTACATACTGTGTGGCAGGCACTGTTGTAAGGATTGTACTTGTACTAGTTCATGTAACCCTCTCAGCGTCCTATGAAATCTGCATTATTATCACCTTTACAGATAAGGAATCTGAGGCAAAGATACGTTAGCTTTCTTGCTCAAGGTCACACAGTTAGTGATGCAGCTAGTGTTCAGACCTAGGCAATCTGGTCCAAAGGTCATGCTCATAGCTATACAACTGGCAAGAAAATAAAATGTATGTATGTATATTTACAACCAACCGTACAATAATTAGTATGTAATCAGGAGATAGGAAAGACTAAAGAATCTCTCCAATGTCATGTCTTCCAAAATAGACCCAGCTTGACTGAGTTGCAGCTGTGTCACCAGCTATATATATATACCTGGAAGATCAGCTCTGTCGATATCAGACTGATTATAGGGGGGGAAAAAGCCTCTATAAAATTGCTCTGAATGTTATACTGATATGTAACTTTTCACTTCATTACAGAGTAATAAACTACCGCACTAAGGAACACCATATGTCTCGTTGCATTTAAAACTTCAGGCATCGGGACTTCCCTGGCGGTCCAGTGGTTAAAGCTCGGCGCTCCCAGTGCAGGGGGCACGGGTTCGATCCCTGTTCAGGGAACTAAAATCCCACATGCCGTGGGGCAGCTAAGCCCGCCGCACCTCAACAAAGAGCCCACGGGCTGCTATGAAAGATCCTGCAACTAAGACCCGATGCAGCCAAAAACAAATAAATAACTTTTTTTAATTTAAAAATAAAAATTAAATAAAATTAAATCTCAGGCATGAACTTATAAACATGATACAATAACACTGAGCATGGCGAGTTGATCATCAGCTCTAACCCAGTAGTTCTGAAGGGCTTTTATGTCAGATGGCTTTTTGCATCTCTTTATGAGTTCTTCATATCACTTTTCACCCTTTTCCCTCATATTTACACACTCAAGACCTCTTGCTCTAACCTGTTTCTTGTCACTAAAAGATATTAAAGGCTGGAAAGGAGAATCTGAAGGCGTTCAAGCCTTTGTGGGTCTGGGTGTTTGTCTACCAACATCACCGCCACAGAGCTTTCTAGAGCCCCAGAGGCCTCTACAGACCCAATTTGTGGCCAGCTGTCCCCTCTACCAATGTGAGAAACACCAGTGAACACTAGAGCCTTTCACAGCAGAGCCTTTCACAGCAGAATATCACAGCAGAGTCAAGTGCACGTGCTCACCACTTAAAAAGAAGAGCATTAAGTAGTGAGAACTGCTTCATTAGAACCTAACTAGTAATGAGAAAACTACTAAACCATTACTCAGGATACATATTTTCATGTAGTTAGATTTATACTACATATTTTAAATATCTACATATAAAATAAATGGAAACAAGCCTGTAAGTGTGTGTGTGTGTGTGGAGAGAGAAAGAGAATGAGGATAAAATCAGTAAAACCAATTTTGCCATCAAATGATTTGTGGAATCTCCGAGATTCCTGCCTGTTGACATCTTTGTCAAGGTACCAAATCATTTAAACTCTTTTTAGAATTTTTTTTTTCAGAAGGCAATATTTGCACACAGTACAAAATTACATTAATTCCAAGAATGTGGTGTTGAGTACATGTAAGGGGATTACCTTGCAATTTCAACTATATGTCATAATTTGTCCATTCCTTGCTAACGTTGGTCTTAACCGTTTTTACAGGTAACGGGACATAACATATTTTACATTTGCACTAATTTAGATTTATAAAACTGAGGTACTCTGTATTGTGAACAAATGTCTGTATGTCACCAAATTCATAGACATGTTTTAGAGCAGCTTAATTTGCAAATTTTAAAAATGGAAGTGATGAACCCAGCATTCTGACTGAGTGCGTTAGGCCACTAAGACTGCCTCCTTCTCTTGAATGGCCTCATTTTAGTATTTAACCCCATAGCTCAGAACAGACGTTGTCACTGCGTCAGATTACCTTTCTGGATTCCAGTAGAGCAACCCAGACAGACACAGCACTACTTTTTTTTTTCTTTCAAAAGAAGTAATTTTTTTGGAGCCAGGTGGTTTTGGTTTGATTGCAAGAGAAGACAGGAGATTTCCCTACGGTGAGATGCAAGTAAAATCACTAGTACGTTAATACTTCACTGGTGAGTTTGGTAGAGACACCCGTCCCCTGGAATAAACTTGAAGCCTATCACTCAAAGGCTGTATGTTAATGGCTTTGAATTGAACCAAAAAGATTCCGAGAACTTGCTTCTTTGTTTCAGGCTGGAAGCATGTTGCCTTGTAAAGGTGATTATTTTTAAGATGGCCGTTTCCTAAATTGTTAAATCCTCGGCAACAGACAAGGAAGGAAAGCGGTCACATTAGAAGTTGCCACCAATCCTTCCACCCGTTGATCCGGGGGGGGGGGGGGGGGGGGGGGGGAGGGTCTCGGTTTATAATTAGTTTCTCATCAACTGTTTTATTTTGCTTTCAATTTCTGTGTTTTAGGAGTAACTGTCTTTGTGATGTTTATGTATCATCTTTCTTTACAGCAGCAGCCCAGCTCATAGATACTACCTTGCAACTGATCCAGTCTCGGGGGATTTGTATGTTTCTGACACTAACACTCGCAGGATTTATCGCCCGAAGTCACTCACGGGTGCAAAAGACTTGACTAAAAATGCTGAAGTGGTTGCAGGGACAGGAGAACAGTGCCTTCCTTTTGATGAAGCCAGATGTGGGGATGGAGGGAAGGCTGTGGAAGCCACACTCATGAGTCCCAAAGGTACTGGCATTTATCAATTTGAGGATTTCTTTTTATTAAAAAAAAAAAAAAATGTGGAAAATCCAGTTAGTGCCTGATTGTGTTTCATGCTGCGTCTAATATTTTACCCTCAGCTGTGTTCTGGAAAAGGCTGTTTCACATCTTTTAAAAGCTACTTAGTGTGAAACTGCTAGAATCCTAAGTTGATTTTACAGTAAATATTAGGTTCTTGGCATTTTTTATCGTACCTTTTTTTTTCAACTTTTGAAAGAATCAAGCAACTACCCAGTATCATTCAGGTCGCATCCTGTTCAACTTCAAGGAAGTATCTGAATTCTTTTTTTTTTTTTCCATTGTCCTGGAATTTCTTTGTCATGAATGAGTCCCAGGCCTCCTTAAAAGCCATCACTGGGCTTCCCTGGTGGCGCAGTGGTTGAGAGCCCGCCTGCTGGTGCAGGGGACCCGGGTTCGTGTTCCGGTCCGGGAAGATCCCACGTGCCGCGGAGCCTGCGCGTCCGGAGCCTGTGCTCTGCAACGGGAGAGGCCGCAACAGTGAGAGGCCCGCGTACCACAAAAAAAAAAAAGCCATCACTAAGCAACCCTATTAGCTCTCACTCAGTTTGGAGCTATTAAACTTCAGTTTCTATGCCATGGGAAAAAATGCTTGCTGTGAGGAATTTCTGGAGGTAACAAGGGCTAAAATTCTATGTGATGAAGGTTTCTAGCTTTTAAACCAGTCAGGACTGACTCCTTGCTCATGTTTTATGCCATTTATTACAGTGTTTTTTGGTTTGTGGCTTTGTGTTTTTTGGGTTTTTTTTTTTTTTCCATTATAGCTAGATACTATTATGTGAACAAAGACTGGAAGAAGAGTATTTGTTGTGCTGAGTTATTCATACTAGCAAATTTCATTGTAACAAGGTCAATAAAACACTAACCTTGACTAAGATGTGTTTTTGGTAGAATATAAAGTTCAGTGTAACAGAATAGGACCTGTTTCTATAATTTATAGATGACAACACTGTACAGTCTTTATATTTAAAACACAGGTACTACCTATATGATTCACACACGAAGGACAGATTCTTACAAATTTTGGTTCTTTATTACATTTTACACTTATACGTAACATGAATGCCTATGTTGGGTTTTTCCTAATGTGTTTGCAACCTGCAGTCTTAACTTGCTGTCTACTGCCCATGTTATCACTGGGGTTAAATGTTGAGTTTCGTGATGGGCCTGAACATTTAATTAAAATTAATCACTTTTGAAAGATTAATAACTGTTACTTCTCTTGGATACAGGAATGGCGATCGATAAAAATGGATTAATCTACTTTGTTGATGGAACCATGATCAGAAAAGTTGATCAGAATGGAATCATATCAACTCTCCTAGGCTCTAACGATCTGACTTCAGCCAGACCTTTAACTTGTGACACGAGCATGCACATCAGCCAGGTAGTGAAAACATTACGCCCAATTGTCTGTTTTTCTTCTAAGTGACTTGATTTCCTGTGTCAGTACGCTATGATGACACTGTGTTAAACTGCGCGTGGCATGGGCATCAGTCCTTGTGGTAGAGCCGCTCCACTAGAATGTGTCTCAGGAGCTAATAATGAAAAGTTATCTTCTTCTCCAGCTCTGCATTTGAAGAATTCAGTGAGATACAGAACAGTTATCACTAAGAAGTGCTAATCATTTGTAGTAAAATACCAGTAAAGTAGCAGCACGCAGGTATTCCAAAAAGAACAAAACAGCTTAAATCTCTAATCTTTTGATTGCGTGAGGTCCTTAAGTAGTAGAGAGAACCCACTAGGATTAGTCCTCAGGGACTTATATTTAGAATTAGAAACTTTACTATTGGCCTGATTAAAAACACAAGGGAACAGTAATGTATTCATAACCTAGAAAGCCCCGCACTGGGTGATTGTTACTGCTAAAAAGAACAAGTATGTTCACATCTCATGGATATGTGTTAACTCACTACTTATGATTCATTTGCTATTTGGCTAGAACTTGCAAATCTTTCAATGAGCTGCATTTTTAAATAAAATTTTATTTCCTACATTTGTCTCCACTCAAAACCTTTTAAGTTTATTTCACTGTATCTATTTTAAAAACAATTTTTAAACAGTTTATCAAATCAATGGTGATTTCCCCAGTGAATTTCTAATTTACTCTTCTGGCAAATTAACAGCAGCTCAGTAACTGAGTAACCAGACCATTTCTTTTTTATGAAGGTACGTCTGGAATGGCCCACTGACCTAGCCATTAACCCTATGGATAACTCCATTTATGTCCTGGATAATAATGTAGTTTTACAGATCACTGAAAATCGTCAAGTGCGCATTGCTGCTGGGCGGCCCATGCATTGCCAGGTGCCAGGAGTGGAATATTCTGTGGGCAAGCACGCAGTTCAGACGACCCTGGAGTCGGCTACTGCCATTGCTGTGTCCTACAGTGGGGTCCTGTACATCACTGAAACCGACGAAAAGAAAATTAACCGGATAAGGCAAGTCACCACAGATGGGGAGATCTCCCTGGTTGCTGGGATACCGTCAGAGTGTGACTGCAAAAACGATGCCAATTGTGACTGCTACCAGAGCGGAGATGGCTATGCCAAAGATGCCAAACTGAGCGCTCCGTCCTCCCTTGCCGCCTCTCCGGATGGTACCCTGTACATTGCAGACCTAGGAAACATTCGGATCCGGGCTGTGTCAAAGAACAAGCCTTTACTTAACTCTATGAACTTCTATGAAGTTGCCTCTCCAACTGATCAAGAACTCTATATCTTTGACGTCAATGGCACTCACCAGTATACTGTGAGTTTAGTCACTGGCGATTATCTGTACAATTTTAGCTACAGCAATGACAATGATATTACTGCTGTGACCGACAGTAACGGCAATACCCTTAGGATTAGACGGGACCCAAATCGGATGCCAGTTCGAGTGGTGTCTCCTGATAACCAAGTGATATGGTTGACCATAGGGACAAATGGATGTTTGAAAAGCATGACCGCTCAAGGACTGGAGTTAGTTTTGTTTACTTACCATGGCAACAGCGGCCTTTTAGCCACTAAAAGCGATGAAACTGGATGGACAACATTTTTTGAGTAAGTAAATCAAAATTCTACTCTGATTATAAAATACTGTGATATAATAATGTAATCTAAAATAATAACAGTATAATCCTTTTTCTGTTTATTTGTTCGTTTTTATTGAAGTATAGTTGGTTTACAATGTTGTGTTAGTTTCAGGTGTGCAGCAAAATGATTCAGTTATACATATATATATATATATATTTCTTTTTCAGGTTCTTTTCCATTTTAAGTTATTACAAGATATCGAATATAGTTCCCTGTGCTATACAGTAGGTCCTTGTTGTTTATCTATTTTATGTACAGTAGTGTGGATAATAATAGTACAATCTTAAGGGCAAGTGGGATTCAGCTTTTTGGGGGGCCTGGAGCTTCTGTAATTTGGGGATCCCTTTTTCTGAAAAAAAAAAAAAGACAAAATTAGACTCAGGGCCTTGGAAGGGACCCAGGCAGGTGGGGAGCCCTGAAGCTTAAGTTTCATTACCATCGAGGTCAATCTACCTCTGCTTAAAGATTAATTTAATATTTTACTTCATACAGACCTAATATATTAGCAGCAAACTTTTGGGGAAACATACTGCAGCCTTGGCTTTAGGCAAAAGCTTTTGGGGTTTATATTTGCCCGTGTGCTAAAGCTGACTGTTTTGGGAGCTGTCACTGAAGGGAAACTTTAAAAACATTTACAATGAACCTGGCTGAACCCATCAGCACCACAGATAGAAGGGCTTCACTTTTTATCATCAGTTATTGGAGAATCTAAACTCCACCTATAAGGACCTTACCGCTAAATGCAAATGAAATAGCTGGTCACTCTGAAAGCATATGAAAACGTAGAAGGAGCGTCCCGCTGGGGTATTCTACTAAATTTGTGGAGGCGTGGCCCAGGCAACGTGCTCTTTGAACAGTCACATTTTGTGACTGTGTAGAGTCACTTTCCATACTTGTTCATTCCACTAACATTGCACAGATCATAAGGGGAAATCAGATGTGCAGAGACGGCATGCTGACCAACGCAAAATACTCCTGGAAATGAATATTGAGTTCCTTCGTGGGACGTTCTCGATGAAATGCAGAAGCAAATGTACTTTCTGTAGGAACACAGCTCCAAAATTATGAGAAGAGTCAGTAGAAAAAAATGATCCAATACACAAATATTTTCCATACAACTTTTCTGGAATAGAACTTACACATTAGGCTTAGTTCTCCTGTACCTTGGATTGCTTTTCTTTTTTTCACAGATTCCCTTTTCATAAAATGAATGTTACCCAGCAGCATGATTTTGTCAGCGGAACAAACCTTTGCAATTGAATTACATTAAAATTCTGTTCTTAGCATTCCTTTTGCTCATTTTAGGATCACAATAGGAAAGGAATAAATTGGAAGTTAATGGCAAGCACTTCCTTTCAAAGTGATAGCAGGCTCTGTTGCCAAAGAGGCGAAAAAGGAGTACAGTAAAAATGCTCCCATCAGATGAGACTGGGCAGGAGAGCTGCTCTGATTATAAGATCTTCAGGAAATGATGGTGGCATTTGTAGGGTTTCGGTTTAAAAGCAGGGGCGAAAATAGAGAAATAAGGTTTTAGTACAGTCTAGGACTCAAGCTCTGCTCTGTGAGCCATGTTTGAATGTGTTCTTATTTGTTCCCGGGAATTGACAATGCACAGAAGTTCGTCACGTGGGTTACTACTGACGCATGGACTTCTGCAACACGCATACAGGTTCACTAATGACCTACAATGAGAAATGGATATACTCCATTGGTGGAGTTGATGTGGGATAGTATAAACAAATTTGGGATTTTTACTTTTTTAATATTATGGTACACAAAGAAGACACATTTCTCTAGTACTAAACACTCTCCAAGAATTTCAGACTTAGTGAAGAATCAACATGACTGCTAAGGTAGAGGCTGAGTTGGCAAACCTGTCTTGTGAATGTAATGGGCAAGCACTGTTTGCAAGAATGAAAGTTTTTAATTAATTAAAATAAATCACAATGATATTTGCACTAATACAGACCCATTACACATCATATTTAAAGTATATCTGTTAAGTCTTACATCTAGATAAATTACAATAAAGGCAACTATTCCAAAAAGCATTATTGAAGTATTCCACCAAATATAAACCTCATAATTATATACACACACGCGCATATAAACACGTGTTTGCTATAACTTAAGAATATAGTAGTTTACAGTACTTGAGAAACAGCTTTTCTAATCAAAGAAACAGAAGTATTGCTTTCAAAAAACAGTGTTTTTGTTAATTTTCCTTTAGATGTCTGCAGCAAAGACATGATTTAAAAATTTCCAAGAAACATTTATGCACTTTGCAAAACAGTGTATTACTGTACAAGACAGGAAAAAAAAAATAGAGCATTTAACCTAAGTAGTTCAAAATCATCATATCAGAATGACAAATGATCATTTTTTTCTTTCTGTACATTCTTATAATTTAGCTGTGAATGAGCAAGGGTCCACCCTTTCTAAGGGTGAGAAACGTTAAAACACGTTCAAAAGTAAGTGCGTGAAGGAATGTCATCGTCAGGCAGCCCCTCCGAAAGCACCCTCTGGATTCTGACAGAGTGGCCCCTTTCTGTCTGTGTAAGTCTGAGATTGTTGATGGACACACTCAACCCCCCACCTCTACTCGTCAGAGCCTTGACAACAACAGTTTCTGCTTATTCTGTGCTGACTCGGATATATGAGACTGGATGTGAAGGTTCTAGAAGAGCCAGAGGGGACTCTGAATCCCTGTCAAGCTTCCTTGGTGTTTGTCGTTACTAGTGAGCTGGCAGACTCCCAGAACCCTAGTACATGTCTGTAATATTTCCCCTCACGTTCTTATAGTACTACATGTCTAATTTAGACCTTTTAAGGGTACTTGGTACTTCCGTAAAGAAGGGATGTGAGAGGTTTGACAATGGTCACAGTTTTACCAAAACCACAAGGAGATTATGGGGGAAAAAAAACACACTTCACAGTTGAAAAACACCTGTTTTCTATGACTTTTGTGACAGTAGTTCCTAGATCTGTTACATGCTGTATCTATCTTTATGTACAAATACCTTGCAAAGAAAGATTAAACTTTTCAGCCCAAATTCCCATTTGTATGTGTCCAGCTTTCTAGCTAGCCTAGTGTCTAAAAAGCCTTGAGATTAAAGCTTTATCGGATAGAAACAGATGGGAGAAGACCTGGGATCAATAAATTGCCTACCAATAAAAAGTGCAGTCGCTGCAGTTTCTACCAAAGAAATTTTAAAAGAGAATTAGCTGAAATTGCATGTTTTAATTTCACTTCTTTTTTTCTTAGTGCAAACTTTCATTTACCATCAGCATGTCACAGTCTTGCGACATGTGTGTCACAGAACGTACAGAATGAAATGTGAAAGTATTTTCTAAAATGCAAGGTGTCCCGTTATCTCTGTAGCTCCCACGGCTCCTGGGAGCTTGCAGTGCACGTAGAACGCTCCCAACAGCTATTTGTTGAATGAAGGAGTAGAGGAGTTCACCTGTGGTCAGGTGAACGGTTATTTATAGAGAAGAGTCTGATGAAACCTAGAGCTGCCTCCGTTGGGAGAGTATCATGTGAATGTTTGCCTTCTGAAACAGTTCAGACTTTTCCGTAGCAAGAATTAATGCTGAAAATATTAACACTTCTCATTTTTGTTGTTGATTTTTTGAAATATATTTACCTACTATTACACATTTACTCTCTTTTGCTTTATAAAGTAAGGACTTCCTCAGTTGACCTTGTTATTACAATAATTAACGAAAATTAAAACTTCATACTGGCAGCACTTTCTTCTGAAATGTTGGGATTAAAGAGTTAAAGACAGAAAACATTTCCCATGCAAATACAGTTTAAGTATACTGTTGCCCCTGGTAACAGGAAGAATGGCTCTAGGAAAAGGAAACCCGACTCTCAACTTGAGATTCTCATCAGTCACCAATAAAATAGGGTGACTTTCGGGTTCACTGGTAGTTTGCAAAGCATAAGAAACCTTCATTTCAGAAACTAGAGATACCGTCTTTGGCACAGCAATTTCTCTCCGTGTTACTTGTGATTTTTGTGTCCCTACTGTGATTTGTTAGGGAAGTGGCCAGTGTTCTTAGACATGCTACAGACGGTGTGATAGGAAGACAGGTGTCAGGTAGTTTATAACTCAGCTCTGAAATCCCTGAGTTAGACTAATATGTTTCACGAGTGGAATAATTATTTGTTGCTAATTGAATAAGCCATCTTGCCTCAGACCTCCTCTTCCGTTGAGTTGCTGGGCGGTAGAAAGGATGTCCATCTGGCTCTGGTGTCCCCTTGTCTGAGGACCCTGTGATGAGCCTACTTACCCCCTTCACTTAGTATTAGGGAGTATTTTGTGCTGGTCTTCATACCATTTTCAAACAATTATTACACGTTATAATTCCTTAGCTAGAGTAATTCCAGGGAGACCCAAAAGATCTTACTTGCTAGAAATCTATTATTTAAAAAGTTCACAGCCAGAGCGAAACCTCAGTTCTTCACTTGAATGCACACAAAAGCAAACCCAGTGTATTGAACTGGGCAATTGAGTCAAGTATTTAATGACTAACGGCATTTCACAGTTCTCTGCTTGCTAACCCCGTAAGCTACAAACCGTGCGGGCACATCTAGAGGCTCTTCTGTCTGCTTAGAGAAGACAGCATGGAAAAAACACCTCTGAGTTCTGGCTGACGTGTACGTGCACACAGCCAGGCGGTGACAGTTTTCTATCTTGGGACTTGGAATATTTGGGGCTTTATATGCACGGGGCTGACTGTGGTCTTTCGTGAGCTCTATTCAGATTCACGGAGCAAATAAATGAGTTTCAGCTCTTGCACATTCACGTAGGTGTATATGGGTCTCCAGCTTCTCATTTGGGTGCTTTACTGTCCCTCATTCAAGCTGAGCAATTTCAGAACGAGCTTCTTAACCATTTCTTTATAATGAACGTAACCCCGAGCCCACGACAGATCCACAGCTGCCACTGACATCAGTT